ATATTATTTTAACATTATCATGGGTAGCTATAACTATAACCATTAATGTGGTTTCAGGAATCTTTTGCCACTAAAGAGTATGATTCAAAATCTTAATTTATAAATTTATTTTATTTTATTAAATAATAAAATATTAATTATTAATTATTTTTAACAATCATATTAGACAAAATTATATTATTTTAACATTATCATGGGTAGCTATAACTATAACCATTAATGTGGTTTCAGGAATCTTTTGCCACTAAAGAGTATGATTCAAAATCTTATATTTAAGAAACTAAAACTTTGAATGAGTATAGCTCGCATTAGTTACTAAAATTTTAAAAAAGAAAAATAAAAATGGTAGTAACTAGCTGCATTATTGCCATCACTAGGTTTTTTTTTTTAATGTCAAAATTTGAATAAAATAAATTTAAAATTATAAGCTGAAATTAAAAACTAAAATTGATAACTTATTGAGCTTGGGGATTACATATAAATAAATAAGAACATAACCTTTCAAAAAAAATTTAATTAAAGATATGACATTTTTTTTCTTATTAATTGAGATTATCACCTTTTAAAAATTTTAATAAAAAATATGACTTTTACTATTTTACTAAAAAATTATTAATTGAATATGCACAGTTATATCCTTAAAGGGCCTTTAATTAGTAAAATTGCTAAAGTCATATCTTTGGGTAAAAATTTTTATAATGTTGTAACTTTTAGTAAAGAAAAAATATCATATCTTTAATTAGAAAAGTTTTGATGACATCTTGTTTCCTTATTTGTATCAAATCTATTTGGAAATTAATACTCAAAATTGAAAACCTAAATTAATTATTTATTTTTAATTTTCATGTAAGGTTACTAAAATTTTGACAACCAAGATAAAAATAAAAATAAAAATAAAAACATAACACTAAAAAGAGACCAACCAATTGCACAATTTTGAACTTTTAACTTTAACCCTAAATCTCAATAAAAAAAAAAAAAACCTTTCATCCTAAATTAATTTCAAGATTTAATTAAATTCTTGTTCCATTGATCAAGATTTAATTATTTAAATCTTTAATCCAATTCATCTTGTGACACCTATAAATCATCTTAGGGTGAAATTATTATCACATTTTAAATAGTTAATATCACATTTTTTTAATGTAATTTTTTATTATACATTTACATTTACTTTTTTCAAAAATTTATATTTTTTTTTGTTTTTTAATAAATTAAATAATATATTAATCAATTAAAATAAAAATATGTGATATTAATAATAAAAGTTGTAACAATAACATGACCTATCTTCCTATCTACAAATATCCAGCTTTACCTTCATGGGTGGCTGACGTCAGCCATTAGAGTTGTTAATATCAAAATAATAAAAGAAAAACTCAAGCCTGTATTCTAATGAATAGTTCTTTTCCATCCCCACAACTTTTAATCCTAATGGGTTAAATATGTTTCATTGTTATTATTAACTATATTTATAATACCAATAATATATTGATTTGAGTAAATAAAATTTTATTTTTTAAAATAAAATTTTATATTTAATTTTTAAAAATAAAAGAATAAATTTTAAGAGAATATCTCCTCTTATAAAGAGTGTTTAGTACTTTAAAAAATTAATTATTTGTAATTTTGATTAATTATATTAAGTAAAAACAACAAAAAAAAGGTTAAATACCTTTTTTGGTCCCTCTACTATAAGAAAAAGCCCCTTTTTTTGTCCTTGTACCAAAAAAATCTTCTTTTTGGTCATTACTGTTCACAAATCCGACCCTTTTTAGTCCTTCCGCTAATTTTTACTTACGTGGCACGTTAACTTAACTAGAACAACTGACAGGGGTATGCCAACGTGTAAAAAATGCTTACGTGGATTTAATTATACCCTCCACGTCTCCCTTCACATCACTCTCCTAGCACATGAAAAGAGAAAATTACTAATTTACCCCCATCTTCTTCCCCATCTTCTCTTTCCTTTGGGCTTTTTTTTTTTCTTTTACCTCCAAGCGAACCCAGCTCCAATCCAGGTCGCGAACCTAGGTGCAACCTGGATTCATTGTTCATGGGTTCGTGAAGAACCCAAGCTTGGGTGGATTCATCTTGGGTTCTTGACGAACCCAAGTGCGCGCTAGGTTCTTTGCGAACCCAAGACCAACCCAACTCGTGCTTGGGTTCTTGACAAACCCAACGCGACTTGGGTGGGCTCGTCCTGGGTTCACGACGAACCCAGGTAGGCCTGGGTTCTCGTCTACAATGCCTTGGAGAAGTGCCTGTAGCCCCCGCCTAGGTTTGTCATGAACCCAGGCGCGAGCTAGGTGGGTTCGTCCTTGGTTCACGACAAACCCAGGCGGGCGCTGCAGGCACTTCTCCAAGGCATTGTAGAAATCTAGAGTCAGCAAACTATTGTCGAAATACTCCTCAACTAGCTCAAAATCATCCCCTACTACCTCAATAATCAAATATTAGCAATCCATTAAAAACAAGAAATCAAGATTATCAGGTTCTTTTTCCTTTAAACAAAGTAGAATTTGACTCCTAATCAACTCAAAACACTCTCCAAATTCCATCTCCATATACTTCCAGCTATTCTACAGCAAATCAATCAAAACGAGCATGATTTCGTAACACATTCAAAGAAAACACGATCTAAACTACGAAATGCGTTTCAATCGAAAGAAAGAAGGTAAAGAACCAAAGGAAAACATAAAGAAAGTGACAATGAATCCTCGGTTCTGACAAAATAAAAAAGTTGGCAAACAGAAACTGAACGAAGATCCCAGAGTTCGATTAAGAAGAAGAAGAAGAAGAATCCAAGGCTCCTTGCGAGTTTCGTGAACCCAGCAACTGGGTTTTGTGAGGAACCCAGATTTGGGTTTCGTGAACCCAGGTCTTGGGTTTCATGAACTCAGGTCTTGGGTTCCTCATGGAACCCCCTTGCTGGGTTCACGGAGGAAGAAGGCTGGGAAAGAGGAAGGGGCAGAGGGATAAGAGAGAAGAAGGGAGGAAGAAGAAGAATAATAATAATATAATAATAAATTATGTGAGTTTTTATTTAAATATGAGAAAAATGCCACATGAAAAAAGAAAAATGCCATCTCATCAAGTTTGTTTTAGCATAATTATAATTTAAATAAAAACCTATAAAGTCACATAATTTATTATTATATTATATAGATAA